CTATGATAAATGTACTACGTCTGCATCATCATCTTGTTAGGTATATCTTACTAAACTTGCATATTACCAATATTATAAATGCGAATGTTTGGATAGATGGATGGATGTTTGTTAAAAGGTATCTCCAGAACGATTGCATGGATCTCGCTGAAATTTGGTAAAGATGCATAGCATAGTCTGGTAGGGAAGGACATAGACTACTAAAGATTTTTTTAATCCGCGCGAACGGAGTCGCGTGCGACAGCTTATACTATAAATAAAAATCAGATGTCAGCGACGAATGGAAACATGTCGCGATAAATGTTCATTATAGGCTGCAGAGGCCAGCGCAGTGTTGTTGGGGCAATAGTTCACTTGATTTTGGCAGAGTTCGCGCGCACAATAATTTTCAATGCATCGTATTACGCGTTTCTATTTTATAGCTAAAGTTTACGTTCGCATTTCAATTTGTAAACACGTTAGTGCTGCAATTATACGAAATGCTAAAACGAAAAACTGTCATAACCAGTTTGCTACAGTAATTAAATATGAAACTGTAAAACTTTTTAAATAGAGTACGGTATGCTTATGCTCAAATGAAAACTCAATTTACACACTTTATTTATATTAACATTAATAAAATATGTTATGCATTCAGTATGTACTCAAATTATTACGAACAGTGGTAAGGAAGACGACGATAAAAAAATTATTAATTGTCTCGACTTGTCCCATACAACATAAATTTTGTCAAAGTTTTTTAACGAGTTTGTAGCTTAAGGAAATTTTACCATGCATACAACTGCGAAGTCTCTAATTTTCCGCGAAAATACTTATCTATGACAACATACACTTGTAATGTAACTGGCTGTCACCCGCGACTCCGTCCGTGCGGATCTAAAAAATTAATTAGTAGCCTATGTGTTCTTCCGGACTATGTTCTATATCTGTACCATATTCCATGGAGATCCATGCAGCCGTTCTGGAGATACCTTCTAACAAACATTCATCTAAACTTTCGCTTACAATATTAGGAAGTTAGCTAAAGTTTAAATATTATACTTGACACATTGGTATATTTGCAGTCGCACGTCGTTGTACACTCGATCGCACCGAGTGCACTGACGGAAGTATACACAATGCAATACGGAACTTTGTGTTTGTGCTCAATTTGTGCATTGAATAAATATTTTGTGTTAAATAAATAACACCAATGTGATAAATGCCGTATATTTAAACTAGCTTTCGCCCGCCATTTTCTACATCTATGCTACATTTCAGCGGGATCCATACAGCCATTCTAGGGATACCTTTTTACTAACATCCATCCGTCCAAACATTCGTATTTATAATAATAGTAAAAAGTTTTAGCCATTATTAGTTAGAATCCTTTGGCGCGAATGACGTGCGTTCGTTACAAAGTCCAGTGTCAACATGAATAGTGAGGGGACACGAAAGTCGACATTTTAGTAAGACTAGTGCTGGGTCAATACACTGCCACGTTTTCGGTTTTTCTTCCTAACAAAAGTAAGATGCGTAGGTACGTAAAACGAACTCTATAAGGACTTTTTTTTAACCCTTTTTAAGGAAATTACGCCAAAGGACGAACGACACAGATAAAGCGAAGAAATGTACAAAGCCATTTAAATTAAAAATAAAATAGCATTGTTCAAATTTCGAACAATAGACGTTCTAGTACCAACTGATCACTATTTGAATTTCTAAAATGCAATTTTATAAAGTATATAAGTCCAGTATCGATTGAAAAGTTAAACATGAATTTAAAGTCCCGCTGGAGTGAAATATCGCGACATCCATTATACGGGAATGTTTGCCCGGGAACTGGGAGTAAAAAAGTTTAAAAAGTTGGAAGAGACTTTATGATATTTTCCCTCGTTCATAAGTTTGACGTTCCGCTGATTTCGAACTAAACGACCCCTGTCGTCAGGTGGAGACTATTATTTGTTTTTTTTTAATATTTAATATCAAAAGCGTGGGATTATTTCAACGTGTACGTTTTTACTAAAGTTTTTCAATCTCATCATCATATATAAATATTTTGTCAATTAAGTTAAACTTTATATTACTTTACATAAATTTATATCAAAACTGTTAAAAATTATAATCGAACTAAAAATTTATATTTCATATCCCGACTAAAATAGACCTGACGTATTCTAAACATATTTCAGGAAAAATGAACAGGAAAATATTATCTTAAAAGTAAAAAAAAATGTACAAAACCTTTATGTGCTACGTAAGGTAATAAAATCGAGCATTAATGACCCGTACCGTCATAACCGTTGAGTTTAAGTTAAACTTGTGTTTCCACTGCCGAAACATACGTTGAAAAACATATTGCCATCTCTATATTTCCAAAAGAATCAAAGGGATAACAATATGTTTTTATAAAAATGTTTCGGCATTGTCACAGGAAAAGCAATCAAATTGTAATGCAATGAAAACGCCATCACAATTCACAATCTGACAGATTACGGGTAAAATGTCAGCGTGAACAAAGCGCGCGATGTACAAACTCGATTAACTTACGAAGAGAACTTCTCAGCTGTCAAGAGAGGTAATCAATTTAGCATGAGCAGGGTCTATATACTTTCCTGGTTAATCCTCTTTACAACAAACGTGATGTACATTCGTTTACTGATTCGTTGTCGAGTCCGTATACAACTTGGCATCCAATGTTATTTGTTAACTGAAGACACAAACTCTTCGCGTCTTTAAAACTTTGCCGTATTTTTGTGCCGCGCAAAAATAAGCCTTGATGAAATATCAAAGACCACGTAATGTTACGTTAATTAGAAAACTGTTTAGTAATTGATCAAAAAACAAGAATATGAATCAAATGACATCTAAATTTTTAAAATCATAGGCACGATGGAATGAAATACAATCATTTTTGGCGTCAGGAGCAAATATTTACAAGTCCTATAGCGTCTGGGTTAGGTGGCATTTAAATCGTCTCGGTGATCATGCTCGAATGCAAAAATGAGGGGTCCTGGACCTCCGTGGAACGCAAAACTCTCAATATGGTTCCACAGTGCTACCGCAAATAGGTCCACGCAACGTCACCGTCTTCTCGGAATACAACCATACATTTTAATGTATGGTATTAATTAACTATAAAGTTACATACATACGAACCCTCCTGTCAGTCAAGCAAAAAAAAACAATTCACGCAAAAAATATTTTAAAAAGCATAACATAAAATCGTTTATAATTTTGCTTCCGCGTCATGACAGGAAAAGTCGAAAACCTGTTAACCAATTCAAGTCACGTTTACCTTCTGTAGGATTAAAATGTTTAGTTCACTTCCCCAACACTCCTTATTATAATATTTTTCATGTCTGTAAATGATTGACGTAATATTGCGCGTCTTGCGGAAAATTATCTTTATGTACCTATTCATGAAATGGAACGCAGTGTATCTTGATTTTTTTTTTTAATTTTATGACCTGGTAACATAGACATTTAGGTCATATCTTATTTGAGTGTATCTTGACTAGACCTTGTAATCAAAGAGTGCTTACCCAAGTTCAGAGAGTAAGGTTTCTAGAGATATCTGCCTTATTTAGTTTTGACTAATCTTGCTAATATTATAAATACGAAAGTATACATGGATGGATGGATCTTTGTTAGAAGGTATCTTCGGAACGATTCAACGGATCTTTATAAAATTAAGCACAGCTGTAGAATATAGTCTCGAAGAACATATAGATTACGTATTAAGTCTTATTTATATCGCGTGGACGGGCGACTTCTACTTACTTTATAAATAACTCCCTAACGAGTGGAAAGTTACTAAGGAACAAAAAAAATCTTGCTACAGTCCGATTAAAACGTTAGGTAGAGAGAAGGTAATGAGATTAGCCCGCGGGGACACAAATTCGCAAGCCTCGTAATAACTTGCAAATTATTTCTGCCATTTTAATTGCTCTTATTTGTTCCAGGGACCTTTTATTTTGTACTCTTTCTAATAACTGGCTTATTACTAAGTACTTTTTGTTTTGCCTTCCTTTGTTAAAGGAATTTGAAATTGTATTTAAATTTCACTTATATTTTACAACGAATCAGTATGTACACAACGAAAGCTCCTAATCAGTCTATTGAAAGCAAGTATTCCAACTTTTTTACTGCTTGTGGATACCATTTTTGTTCCCTTTTGCTCTGCTCGTATTAAAAGCTGTAGAGTCAGCTGAACCGAACAGCTAGCGCCATCTAGTACTATGAAAACATATGTTAGAAACATCTTTACTGTTTTAGGGACAAATATAACGGTCAAAATGAATGAAAGCGAATGTAACTAGCTTAAAATTCTCTTGAATTACTGACCCCATGTAGCATAAATTAATTGTCTCTGATCATTCTTGTAATTTGACTTGTTCATTCTTCTGGTCTATATATTTTAATAATTTGTAGGTATTGTCTTTATACCATGTTTCGGTTAAATATTTGGAATTTGAATATGGTAGGTTGAGTGCCATCTAGAGTTTCATCAGAAAAGTATAAGGTGTCTTTGTTGCCATATCTACACTAGGAATAAATTGTCTCGAATAATATATCAAAAAAAAGCAAAAAGTTTACATTCGCATATCCTCCACAACGAATGTTCTAAAAAGAAAAAAATAATAGTTTTAATGTTATATAGCACTAACGTTACTTTGAAAGTAATACGCCGTGAAATGTTATTGAACAATATCTGCATCAATAAAAACCAATAGTAATTTCTGAAAGATTTAATCAATTAAAGAATTAATTGTTCGCATAATAATAAATAACTAGAATTTGTTTGTAACGATCCACATCCCTACCCTAATAGGTTAACACATTGATGAAATAATTTGCTTTGTCCTTCCGGGAACCATATCCCTTTATGCATTTAAATTAACTCAATTCACTTATAATTCATTCTCTCTCAAACGTGCTGTTGTTTATTATAGTCAGAATCAATTCAACAAGTGATTTGTTTATAACGTCTTTATTTAATTTATAATTTTTGTAAATGGCAATTTCAATAAAGTGAGACATCGCCCTGCTAAAACGGTGTCATGGCGGTTTGACTTGGTTAAAGGTTTTTTTGCAATAACTTACTAGTTAATGTGCTTCTTAGCGATTTGATATTTGATTTAAGTGAATAAAATCACGTGTAACTAAATAGTTAATAATGCGTGAATATAAAATAGTTGTGTTGGGCAGTGGAGGCGTGGGAAAGTCCGCCCTGACAGTACAATTCGTACAAGGCATCTTTGTGGAGAAATACGACCCAACCATAGAGGACAGCTATCGGAAACAAGTGGAAGTGGATGGGCAACAATGCATGCTGGAGATCCTCGATACGGCCGGCACGGAGCAATTCACCGCAATGAGAGATCTATATATGAAAAATGGACAAGGTTTCGTATTAGTGTACTCCATCACAGCACAGTCGACGTTTAACGATTTGCAGGATCTCCGGGAGCAAATCCTGCGGGTGAAAGACAAAGACGATGTGCCAATGGTTCTGGTGGGCAACAAGTGCGACCTGGAAGCGGAGCGCGTGGTGGGCAAGCAGCAGGGGTCCAACCTGGCCAACCACTTCAACTGCGCCTTCATGGAAACCTCCGCCAAGGCCAAAGTCAATGTAAACGATGTGTTCTACGACCTGGTCAGACAGATCAACAAGAAGTCGCCTAAAGAAGACAAGAAACCACAAAAAAAGCCTATCAAATGTATCTTCATGTAACTGAGGAAGACCATGTTGCGTCTAGGTATAGAATATTTAATAATTTGAAAGACTTCTCGTACCCGGATTTGGCTGTCGGTTCCAAAAGTTAACTAAATCGGGTGAGCATTGTTGCTTGTCAAATATCTAGCATTTGGAGGATGCGCATATGTTGAGCTCCATGTTCCAGCGCTGCGGCGCAGGTGGAAGATGCACAGGCATCATGGGTCCGCATTTATTCCTATTCTCAAAAAAATATAATATCATTGGTGCATTAATTTGGTTTTTATTTCGAGAATAGACTCATTGTCTCTGTGCATCATTCACTATAAAAGAATTCCAATTGTATTGTGTGGATGGCATCGGGTTCAGAAGTTCACAGCTAATAAATTATCCAGCATTTGGACTTTACGATGTTAAGTATACTATGTGAGAACCCTCCGTTCTGTTATCATTTCAAGAATTATAATACAAGAATATATACATTACTTTCAATTCAAGATAGTTAATAACTGCTGTTTATAGTGTATTTAGGTATATAAGTTTTGTTTCAAAGGGCAATGTTGAATGCAGACAGCTTCTTGTCAATTAGGTTAAACAGGAAAACATACACTTAAATTACTATATGATTTATCACATTGCACACAGCTGAATAAGAGTACCTAATAACTTTGTGAAATGTAGTTAATAGTAGTTAGCCACCTTTTACATTATAGTGATTGTAAATAGTGCTCAAATTATCCATTTATTGTAAATTATCTCCTAAAATTTTAAACAATGCCTTTGTTTGTAATTCATATGTTAAAAGTATTAGCATTTTATGAACAGGTTCATACAAGTAACATTACAAACAAGATGAGTTTTTTTGCACTCATTTCTGCATTCCTTTGTGTTCAGTTTACAAAATGAGTTGTATAAAGTCAAGTGCCTTTCCACAGACATGTGTATACTGCACATGTTTGTATAGATTTGTTATGTGTCAATTGTTTTGCTTTATAGGTTATCTTTGGACCAGCATTGTTATAAATTTTAGCAACATCCTTATTTGTATGCTTTTAAACATAGTCCTGCTGTCTGCATTTAACAAGCCACTAGGTAATTGTAATATTTTCAAACTTCTGAACTGTTAGTATGAGAGATGATAGTGCTGGTTCTGGTAGGCCTGAACCATTGTATAATGTTTAAATAAGTAAGAATACATTAAATTTTTCAGATATATTATTGTCTTGTTATATAATTCAAATGTATCGAAGTTGGTACTAGTATACCGCTTAGATTTCGGTAAGTTTGAACAAATATTAGTGAGCCTTAGGTGAGTGCACCCACCCAGTGTAGTGTCTCCGTTGCCCAGTGGCTCGCCTCGGATTGTACACTGTGCCACACAGACTCTTAACCCCTAAGTATTAATGAAAAATCTAAAAAAAATTATCGTTATTGTAAATGGATTAAAGTTTTATGATTACTGGCTCATTTTTAATGTAAATTTACATCAAATGTTTTGCTGCTATGGATAATTTGTTAAATGAAAAAAATAATTATAAATATAAATGTTCCGATATTGTTATGGGATTAGATGTTTCCTCCGTATTGATTTCTGTTAACTTGTAAGATCGCTGCACAAGGATATTGGTAGTAACTTGATCTGAGTTCGATTATATTTTTTATATATATCAAACAAATTAAGAACTCTTGTATATTTTTATCTTTTCAATCAATAATCGACTTGTACAATAACTATTTTTTCTTCTTTTTTTTTGCAAATTTATCAATAAAACCAATTTAAATATTTATGTTTTGTGTTGAATTTTCCTCGCGTATATTTTGCGTTTGGAGGTGCGAGCGTGTCGGTTGCACTACGGCGCGGTATCGCAATGAGTCAGCTCGCCCTGTACCCGCCGCACACCGCCAAGCCATCCTCCAATTGAGTCGGAATTTTAATGGAATTAATTTAATTGAAACAATCACTACCCCACTACTATAATTTTATTGACTTTACGGTGTACAAAAGTTTCATAAAACGTGTTCACAAATACTAAAACTAAATTACATATAAGGATACAAATAATGGCAGTGTACGTGGCGGGCGTATGTCTATATTCTAGTAACATAAGAATTGACACAGTCCAATGACAATATGAACACAATACGCCGTATAAAAGCGATCTAAAGTATTGCAAACGAAATGTTATAACTACGCAAAATTTCTCAAATTGTTCGCTTGCCCGTAATGTGAAACAAGGTCTCGTACATAGATCGAGCTCACTACGGGACGCGTTAACAACGAAACATATTAATTAACATAAATTTAATGAATTACATTGAAAGCTCGTGGGAGGCGTTATCTACATACAATTCATTATATAAAAAATGTTAGAACACATTCCCAAGGCACAGATGTTTTGGTTACATTTACAATGAATTATTTTGTTTGAAACTATTCATTATTGACACAATATTTCTTGATAAACATAGACAAAATTACGATAAGTTATCCACACATTAGCTTATGACATTTCGGTGCAGGAAATTGATATCTATTTGGTATATTAATAGTTTCGAGCATGTTTGTATGTACTCAATATGAAGATTTATGTCTGGTTAACAAACTCTGTATGAAGTTTATAGATTTTTCATATCAAATTTAAAAATACGTCTTACGGAATATTCTCAGATGTTATACTTTTAATAACAAAAACCAGATGAATTACAAAGAGAATTCTATTCATATGACTCATTTAATTTACTTAATGCATGTAGGAGCTAAACCAACACAATCCTTTTTTTTCAAAGTAATATATATTTGCCTAAAATAAAAAAAAAGTTTGGTTGTGCTTCAACATGCTTTAAAATCTGAGTAAATATTTACGACCTCTTTTCTAGAATCTTTTAATGAAGTGTCCGTTATTTACGTTAATTGTGTTAAAATGTTATTGGGGAAAATTCCATTGGAATATGTTTTCCTCAACGTATTTAAATACTACGTAATTAAGTGTACAACAGTTTTACCTACGTTAAGACAGTGCCTTACAAAGTATAAATAATAACTTCAATAATACTACACGAATAAAATATTTATGACTAGTTGTGACTAGAATAGGACAGAGTTCTTGTATTGACTAGTTTAGAAAATTACTACAATTCAGTTAAATAAACCTAAAAATCTTTAATAAAGTTCTCGATTTGGTCCCGAGAAAGTTTATGTTATGATGTTATTAATGGATCAGGATATATCTGAATTTATGTCTAGATAACCTTGTCAATTATGTCTTCACTTGTTACCAGTAAGATTAAATTTATCAAATTATGATGATTCTAATCGTTTTTATCAAAATAATCATCAAACATAAAATAGACAGATGTATAAAACAAATACGCTTAAAATATTTAACTTTAAATATCCAAGTTTTATAGGTCAAGTATTTAAGTTGAAAACTGCGTATTTAGTATGTGACACATATTTTCAAGGCCAATAAAACGAAGTAAATAAGTATTTAAGGCGACTTTGCAGTACGATGAATTGATGATTGAACGAATACTCGTAGTTTTACGGTTGACTAAACAAGCTACCATGGAATTACATGATATCAATTTTGACTATGAATTACTGGAACACATACGAATCGTATTGATAAAAATACGTAGGTTAGTTTCATTTGAATATAAAATATTTTTAGTACTAGAAACACTATCATGTGTTTTCTGGAAGTAGAATAGAAACGATTGTTTCGTTTTCTGATTAGAGAATTGTGCTGTTTTGTGCACAATAGAAGAAAGACAAGTGATAATATTGTGCTTAACAATAAACAATAGTTCATTTTTATGTAAATAGAAAATACAGTACACATAAATAGAATATTTTATATTTATTTTTTGGATCGTAGATTAAAAATATCTTCGAATTTTTGAAAAATATTCGATCTTAATATTTAAAAAGACATTATTTTCCGCATTTCTTTCGTTGCGATATTAATTTAAATACAGATTACATAAATCAATTTTAAAAACTCGTCTAAATGACGTATTTATTCGGGAAAATAGCTGTATTTTTGCATCGAAAAATATTTTCTCACTAGTGTGTTATATTTAGAAGCCATGACAAAACTTTTCATTATTCTTTTATCTATCTTGAATAGAATCTCAAGTGTGAATGCATAAGAGTCTGTGAGAAGAAATAAAGCCTTATATGTAGAATTAAAAAATATAAGTTGAGTCACAAAGCGAGACCTTGCATCGTTGATAAGTACGAGCGTGAAAACCTACCTTTATATGTATGTTTTAAAATTTAATATATGCGAAGGCCGGTGATACGAACTTGAAGTGGCGCTGTAATTAGGTCACATCTGTATCAAGTGATACTTTCTTGTAAGGTTAATGAACTTGCTCGGCTTAATCTTGAAAGTATTTTTTCGGAATAATAAAATTGAGTTTTAGTAAGAAAGATAAACCTAACTGTAATGAACCGAATCGTGCTAAGGACCAACGAAATTTGCTTTCAAACAATAACTTTAGCTCTTTTTTTTTGGTTTAACTAGATGAGTTTCTATACATTGATGTTAGGAATGTATGGATGTAGAAAGATATCAAGTTCATTCCAAATACAAAATATTTGCCAACCTCTTTGTTACGTGATAATAACTATATCCAACACATCTAAGATCTAGACATTAACGTCAGAGTTGACTCATGTTTAGCGAAAAAAAATGACTTCCTTTGTACTTCCGGCTGTTCTGACCTCAGTGGTATGAGTCAGCGCCGACTCAGGACGAATTGTGACGCCGTCTTCACACGATTGTAATCTAAATCATATGAGGACGTATGTATAGCATACCGGTTTATGACAAAATGTGGCATTTGCTTTAGCAAAAGTAGCATTGTATTCATTTGAATTGCATTATGTACTTTATCCTTATAGAACAGAGTTGATATTTCAATAACATAATTTGTAGTCAATGGAATAAAGATCAGATTGTGCGTTACGATTTTTTTTAATTTTTTGAATAATGTTAAATAAAAATTAAAAATTGATCGTTATAAAGGTTGCTTGAAAAGAAACCCACGATAAAACTATTAAGTTGAGCCGATTTTGAGTAATTTAAGGTAAAAAAATACACGTTATTTTGATATGTACACAAATTCACTGTAATACATCGTATATCATTTACCGTGGGTTTCCGAGACCAAAATCCGTTTACAACTGAATTTAATGGAACGGATGATTTTGGTGTCAGAAACCCACGGTTAGTGAAGTAGACAGTCATTGAGTTGCAGATAATGACAACAATTAAGGTCGTGTGACTTACAAAGGTTACGAGATAATTGCACATCGCGGTATCCATTTACTATGTATATATATGTATGTATTACATCCAATGTATGGATAATGATACTAAAATTAATATCGTCAAGTTACGTCATTCGTTAAGGCCGATGACCAAAATCGACTTATTTTGAGCCTTGATCCGAAAGTGGGCGAACATGATAAGAGGGCGTTGTAGTGACCTAATATAGAAAAGGTCGGGTCTACTTATAAATTGCATATGCAGTAACTATGGATAGAGAGAACAGAAAGTTTTTTAATAGGGTACTGGAATCAGTACCGTTTATTTACCGAGAACGTGACTAAGAAATAATTAGAAGTTAAACTAATCATGTACCTCACATTACTCACAAGTTTAATTATGGAGGCACGTGGATTGCGTAAGAAATAATATTCAGCGAATACTATACGCTTAAAATAAAACATTGTACCAAAAGTTGAAAATTCAAAAAAACAAACTATTGTAGAAGATATTCAAAACAAATTCGGAAATTGATTTAGGGAAAAAAACCTAAAAAAAATGTCCGACAAAAATTTAATTAATCCATATTAACGCCTTTATAGATTTACTACAATAATGATCTTAATCGAATATGCATAATTAAAATTATGACTCAAGAGTTTCAACCAAAAGTCACTGTCAAAGTTCTCATCGTTCATCCTTAACAGACTAACTAAAATATTTTTACATACGATGTAATGACCCCAACAATCTATTGCACTTTACATTTACCTAAGTAAGTATAGAGTATATCAGTAAGAATGCGGGCTTCAACAGTTTTATTACATCGCCATGTGTGTGAGGGACCGGTCGGCGCGCGCCCCGCACATCTGCCCACTGACGTCACGGCCGACGTGAGGACACACTACACCGAACAGTAACAAATTCATGACAAGACGGTGGAAACACGATTTCAAATTTGAAAATAAACTCATAATCTAAAAGAAATAACCAAAGAGTATGTAATAACTTCGTATTAAGAGTCGGGAAGAACATTTTTAAATAGCCTAAAATTTGTACTCCTTCATTGTAAGTAAAATAAATAATTCGAAATTAAAAAAAAAACAATTACTAACTACATTAAATGTATGAAACTGATATAATTTGACATCACATCATTCAAAAATAGGTTGAAATCAGTGTTTGTCGAGAGGGTATACATACGAAGATTTTTTTCAATTATTTTTTTTTGTAAATCGCTCTTTGTACCTTTAATTTAAACAATACCAATTAATATTGTATTGTAACAGAGTAGTGTGTGTCCGCCCTAACCCGGACTCATTGCGTTGATCTAGCGAGGCATTATCACATCATATTTACATGGTGCGTCAATTTTTTGATAACGACGATAGATTTTTTTATATATTTACCGATTTTAGTACATTCACCTTCCGGTATACGGAATTTGCAACATCACTACCAAATATAAACAGTTTTAATGACGTCTGATAATTGAAAAGTGAGTTCCCACTGCTGAAACAAAAATAAAGACGGAGGCCTAATTTTTATCATCTTCCCTTCCCTCTCTTATAAGCATAGGAAGTAGATTTGACAGAGGAGGGGACGTATTTGGAGGGGAAATATTGTCTATCTGTGCGTCCCCTGCGTCAATTAAAGGTGGGCAAAGTTTGCTTCTTTATTTCAGCGAATTTAGCTAGCCTTTGCTCATTTGCCATCTTATAATATAACAAAAATAGTGATTTTAATTTTTTCAAAGGGAATGGGATACAAAAATGAGTGTAAATTAATGACCATCAAGTTAAATATATCTGTTTTCCTGTTAATGTGGTTAAAATCACTCCAACTTCATTTAATTTAATGTACAACTCTCCTTGTTTTACACGTATGAATGAATCGTAATAAATATAAAAAATAATCTTATCGTTGGTTTCTGACATCAAAATCTCTGTATAAAACATTTTTAAACGAATATTTCGGTCTCGTAAACCCACGGTTACTAATTTCGTGATTAATTGGTAACGTAATTTTATATCAACATTTTAGATTATTTTTTTTAATAAATTTGTACGTTTGAACAAAAACTCTGTTTAAACATTCTGTCCAAAACAATAATAAAACCAAAATTACTCTAAGATTTATAACAACGCCATCTTTTTGAAAAAAAAAACATAAAATAAAACTTTTTGTATCAGTGTTTCTTCAATTTTCGTTATTAAACGCCAGGGATACGTTCTATGACGTACATTGAACCGCAATTAAATACATGTAGGTACATGTTTGTGACGTCATCAGTCACGTGACCACGTTGACGTCATCAATATGAACGTATTATCGTGGTTACTTTGAGGAGTCATAGCTATCGTTGAGAGGCGGCAGGCTGTGTGTCAGCGTGTTGTCCAGCTTCCTTGCTTCGTGTTCCAGTGTGTACGCATCTAAAGCAGGGTCCTGGAACAAGATAACGTGACGTAATGGATCACGTATTTGACATCAAGCAAACCTCAATAGTCCTTAAAAGATGTTAAGTCTCTATTAGAGATGCTTTATTAACGTTGTAAAATCATAGTATTTGAATATTATATAGAGCGAGATATGGAACGTCGGTGGCTCAATGGTCAAGCAGTTGACTTGCAATCTGCAGGTCCTGGGTTCGAATCCCGCCATGTACCAATGTGTTTTTCGATTTCCGATTTACATTTGTACATATACGACGTTCTTACGATGAAGGAAAACATCGTGATGCAACCTGCACATATCTGAGAATTTCAAAGAAAAGTGTGAAGTTAATCAACACGCAGTTGGCCAGCGTGGTTGACTATGGCCTAATCACCCTTAACTTAGGGTAGGCTCCGAGCCCCTCAGTGGGGACATACAGTGAGCTGATGATGATGATGATTATATAGAAGTAAATACATTATACATAATATTTTCCAACACATTCTGTAACTATAACTAACGCACTCAGAGTCTCCCTTAGTGATTACGTTGGTAGGATTAACAATTTAGTATATAACATAATTTTTATATGGTAACATTTTTTGGTTTATTATAAGTCTAGCAACACTGTATTATTATTTTTATAGTGAATTGTGAATATACGCAATTTATACAAAACTCCGGGGTTTTGCCTACAAAGTGATAGACTAACTAACTATGGGTTTCTGAGATTAAAATCCCCGTTTTAAACATATTACTATTTAAGATTTTTTAAAGATGTAAGTGACGTAAGTGATGACGATATAATTTTTTAATAGAATTTGGTATCAGAAATCCACAGTGAGTGATGTAAAAAGTAAAATTATCAAGAGAAATATGTGTACCTGTGAGACAGCGCGCAATGAGTCTCCGAGTGCGGAGCGCAGTCGCTGCACGTCGCGCGCAGCTCTCCCACTGCGCGCCACGTACGCCTGCCGTCTGCGCAGCTCAGCTGACAGCTGGGTGCGCAGCTGCGCCGCCTTACATTACAAACATTACCTTTTGTATAGTCAAACAAGTATGGCCCGATGGCGCTGCTAAGACCGATTGGAATAAATATTTAAAACCTACATAAGCATAGAAAATGGCATCAAAGAATAAATTTGATATATACATCAGTGCAAAAAGACCTTTTTTGACATTGAAAAGAGGGCGCTAGTGAGCAATTATAATTTAGTTTATCTTATGCCACACCGGGTCAGATATCCTTATCGGTCTATACAAAGCAACTATCGAATTACAAGTTTTTCTTATGTTGTACTCAGAATCATTAAATTATTATTAAAGCAAATTAAAAAAAAACACCAAAAAGGCTTTATTGACGAATTAGCACATTTGGATTAAAAAAGGAATACCTGTGCTTCTAGACGGGCGATATGCTGCCTGTGGGAAGCTTCGCGCGCTTCCAGCAGACGCTCCGCCTGCAGCGCCGCCTGCCGGTACTGCTCCACATCATCACGTCTGCTGCCACCGCTTGTTGATAGCTCCGATATGTACCGGTTACGAGCTACTGATAGCTCGGCCTCCTAAATACAAAAAAAGGTTCACACACAACGTTCATCAACTTACGAGAACTTTGCCACTAGCGCGGCCGTAACGTTAATTGAACTAAAAACGGTCTTAAGAGAAAAAAGCTACTTTCATTTCCTTCTTTTAATTTTTTTAATCTGTTTCCCCTTTTTTTTTAAGAAAATGCTGACTGCCTAATATAATGTTAGGCAGCTCTACATCAAACGTTACATTAAGACACAAAACGATAGTTGACACTTTATATTCGTGATACCTTATCAGAGAGTTCCTTCTCCAGTCGACGTATCTTCATGCGCAGCTCCCTGTTCTCCAGCTCCAGCAGACTGAGCTCCGCGCTGAAACTCTTGCTTTTGCATGTGCACGACTCCTTAACATCACGCACCGAATCCTTTGTCGAATCACCACCTGGGCCAAATAAAAATCAAAGTTGATGAAGCAATCTACATTAGACCACCATCATACATCTGAAATTATGTTCTTGCCAGCGATTCAGGCGAAGTTAAGGGCTGCAAAGATTTTTGAAACATATAGTTAAAATTGCTGCTCTTGGCTTGAAGCTCCTTGAAGGTTGAGAACCTTAAACTGTTAATTACGCCTCGTTTTAGCTATAAAGATAGTTATTAAAATAATGTATTACCGGAGTCAATATCACAGTAGTAGATTGGCTTATCCCGATCGTGGCTCTTGCTGCGCGCGGCGGAGTGGGCGAGGGGGGCGTGGTGTGCGGGGCGTGTCAGTGCGGAGTTGGGGGCGGGGCCGTGTCGTGCGGGCGCGCTCAGCCGGCGCACGGCGTCCTGCAGCGCATCATTCTGCGCGCGCAGCTCGGCGCGCTCGCGCTGTAGTGCGTGCAGCTCGCGCTCCGTCTCACTGTCCCCACTCTCTTTACCCTCCCACGTATTTAAACGTAACTGTGATTCAAGACCGGACCTAGGATTTATACAATTGATGAAAATCTTACTTCTTACTAGTATAATTGCGAATGTTTGAATAGATGGATGTTTGTTTTAAGATCTCGCTTTGACATAGATGTATAACATAGTCTGGGAGAATACATAGACTAATTATGTTTTTTTTAATTCGGCGCAGGAGTCGCGTCAGCTATTTTATTATAACTGTGTTTTCTTAGTTATAAGCTAATTGTTATGCTTACTTTTGCACTTCTATGTTTGCAAGTTGATTGGTGAGTCGATGCACTTGGTCTTCTAATGTAGCGTTGACTCGCTTCAGTTCTCCCAGCGCGGCTTTAGCACTCTCCAATTTTTCTGACAGCACGCGTCGCTCGTTTTCACACGTCGCTGTAAATAAACCACATTTTAATTAACAATTACCTTGAAATGTAAAATCTTCTTGGACAGTATTAAATGATCTAGTTTCTTACTTATTGGGGTTTTTATAAAGTTTCTAACTTTCGCCTGCGACTCCGTCTGCACGGAATTACAAATAACAATAAGTAGCCTATGTGTTCTTCCAGACTATGTTCTACATATATGACGGTCGTTCTGGAGATACCTTCAAACAAACATCCATCCATTTAAACATTCGCATTTATCATATTAGTAAGAGAAGAAATCTAAGAACAGGGCATTCTATGACAAAAATAAATAAAAAACATGGCGTGATTGTTAAGATTCTGCATTAGAAGAAGTGTAGCACTGACCAACAGTCTTCTGTATCTGCCTGAGTTTATCGTTAGCATTCTGCTCGTGGTTCTTGGCCTCGTTGAGTGCGCGCTGAGTCTTGCTGAGGTCAGCGCGCAGCTCGCTCTCTGCTGCAGCCGCCTTCTGCAGCGCACTCGACAGCTGCTCCACTGTACCCTTCAGGGAGGTGCATCTGTCTTCTAATGAAGCGATAGTACGCTGATAGCCTTCGCAACGCTCTTGAAGTTTCTAATACAAAAAATTAAAAAAATACTTCGTTATTGATGGTTTAAATTATTGGGGCCATGGAATAAAAAAAAACGAAAGTTTTATTTTGGGTTTCTAAGACATTGTTATCTCTGTTTTGTCAATATAATGACAGGGATGACGATATGTTTTATTCACAATTTGATCTCAAAAACCAACGGTTAATTATGTTAAAATTACTTTTCAGTTTAGAACCGTGAAATCGAAAGCTTTATATGTTTCTCTGCCTACCCATCTATGTGAATCACGTAAATATGTACTTTTAATGTACCTTGAGAGCAGCATCCCTGTCGCGTGCGGCAACTGCTGCGCGCTGCACGTCGCCCTCCAGCTGCGCACGTCGCACGTCCAGCCGCGCAGCACGACCTGACAATAGTAACATTGTATAGTTGTTTTCTGATATCTTAATAGCTTAACTTAATGGGGGCGATAACCTTGAGCCACCGAGATATTTGAAAAGAACTATACCACTTCATTAAAAGTTACAAGCAACAAAAAGATGAATTACCCTCAGCGGCAGCTAACGCCTCCCTTAACTGGCCGACCTCTTGAACTCTCTCTGCTAATTGAACGCGCAGATTCTCAGATTTGTTCTGCAAATAAATATTATAAATAATTTAATGAAGAATCTTGAAAAAAAAACGTATCACTGTTAATAGAAAATTACCTCATTTTGTACTTTCTCTTCAGTGACTGAGCTCAAAGTCGCCTCCAGACTTGTGATCTTGTCTCTCAAGTTGTTCACCTCTGTTGTCTTTGATTGTATTGACTCGTTCTGAAATATCAAACAAATATATTTAAAAGTATTCGTGAACAAATAATTAAAGAAGAATCTTTGAAATAAAACAAGTATTTAGTTAACGTATGAATACGTAACACTGCGTACACTACACGGCCACGCCCACACAAATCAATTTTGATAGCTATTATACTTTTTTTTGTTTAAGTTTTAAACTAAGTGTCGCCCGTGACTCTCCGCGCGGGATTAAGAAAAACAAAATTAGTATTCTATAGGTTCTTCTTAACTATATACTATGTCAAATTTCATCGAAGTCTATGCTGCTATTCTGGAGTTACTTCCAACAAACATCCATCCATCCATTCAAACATTTGCATTTATAATATTAGTAAGATATTTTTTTTCACATGTAACTTTTCCTGCAAGGTAAGAGAGAGATTTTCAAAAGATCTATAGAGTATATTCATGGTTTTTACATATCCTACTGCAAGCTACTTATAAGTAAATTTGACAAATAAGGTGCAATCCGCGTCAATTCTTTCAGCGGTTTAAAGTGACTCACGCGCCTCCCTGCACCCCTTTAACCCCTTTTATATTAAAAATAGTATTCTGCCTCCAAATAGCAGTTCAAACATACCAATGCATTGAGCTGCGCCTCCTTCTGCGCGACGGATGTGTGCAGACGAGCGCGCTCCTCCTGCAGCCCGCGAACATTGCTGCTGAGAGACTGCAGCTTGCCTTCACCCTTGCCTTGCTGCTCTGTCGCATCCTTTAACTGCTTCTTCAGAGATTGTAACTGACATTTGTAGTCATCCTGGACAATAAACAATTATGTATAATTAGCTGTCGCCCGCGACTCCGCTCTCGTCTGCGCTATATTTAAAAAAAAAACTTAAAAAGTAGCCTACGTTTTCTTCAAATTTCAGCGAGATCCATGCAGTCGTTTTGGAGAAAACTTTTAACAAAGATCCATCCATTCATCTAAAAATTCGCATTTGAATACTAATACCTGTAGCCCCCGACTCCGTCCGCTCGGAATAAAAAAAAACTTAATAAGTAACCTATGTTTTCTTCCAGAATACTATGCCATATTTCAGCGAGATCCGTTTAGCCGTTTTGGAGATACATCCAGCAAAAATCCATCCATTTATAATATTAGTAAGATTTGAAGGTAGTGATTAAAAAGGGTATGTCTATTCCCATCTCTTTCTTTTCCCTTTAAAGACAGAGACAACAATATGTAGTACATAGGCGTTAGAAAATTCCACTGTTACCTTTTCTCGTTCTATTTGACAAACTTCATGCATCAGATTGCGAACTCCTTTCTTAATGAGTTCAGGATCCACGTCAATTATCTCATTACGATCTTCTGAATGGTCACGACCTGGAATAACAAATATATTAGTCTACATGTAAAGTAACTTTTTTTAATTTAAATAAAAAAAATTGTCATATCCACTATACTATAGAATCTCTTCTGCACGTAAGAATTTGCTGACTTATTAAAATGCAACATTACTTGTGATCCTTCCTGCACTAAGAGCACATCAGGATTTCCTATCTCCTAGTAAACCTAATAGTTTGTAATGTTATCAGTACATTTGTAAACCGATATTTTTTTTAATTGTGTTTAAAATAAGTAATTTTTTCATTATTGTCCCCGTCTGACTGACTAATACGTAATAGACTAAATAAATATAATTATAATCATACTAGCTGTCGCTTGTGACTTCGTCCTTGTGGAATGAAAAAAAACTTAATTAGTTCCCGACAATTTCCATGAATCTTTCTCACCTTTTAAAGCTTCCCTAGACCTCCACAAACATTTTAAGACTAAGATAAGATAAAGCGTTCAGCCATTTTTAAGTTTTAGCCAGTCTAACGAACAATTATTTTTTATATAAATATATACTAGCGGACCCGACAGACGTTGTCCTCTCTACACGTCTTTAATTTGAATATTATTTAAAATTTGACACTGCGACGGTAGCGCCGTCTGTCGGATCCAATGTAAAACATTCCAAAATCAACAACTACTAATAAATTAAAAATTTATTAAAAAAAACATTGTCCAGCGGACAAAACTGTGAATCTAAACCATTACCAGATACCAGAGACCTTGAACACACACAAAAAATTTCATCAAAATCGGTCCAGTCGTTTGAGAGAAGTTCAGTGACATACACACTTACAGAAGAATTATATATATAACAGTGATATAATGACCTCTATGCGGGCTGTATCTCCTGGCAGGGCTGGCGATGCGGCGGCGTGGTGCGAGCAGCGTGCCGTCTGGCTGCACGCCGCAGACACGTCGCAACGTGTGCGCCACTGAGGACAGCCGCGCCTCCGCCTCGCGCCGCACCGTCTCGCTCTGTGACAGCTGACCCTCCACCGCACGCGACCGGCTCTCGCACGCCGACAGACGGGTCTGATTACAAACATACCAAAAAAAAGTTTTAAATTGGCAACTTATAACAAAAAATCATCTTAGCTGTTTTTTTTACATCATAAGGTGGCAGACGAGCGAGCGGCCACCTAAAATCGCTAAAACAGCGAAGTGACCGTTGCCAATAGACATACGCAATTGCATATGCGCTGCCTACCTTTAATCGACGGAGGAGAGGATGCACAGAAAGAAAATATATTCCTTTTCCTTGCATCCTCTTTTCCGGAAAGTCCACTTTCACTACCCATCCTTTCCTTATAAGAAAAGAGGTGGAAAAGGAAAGAGGAGTAAATTAGGCCTCCGGGACGCACACTCATCAGACTGCACGCGGAATAGCTTCCACTTGACGCCTGTCTTCTGTGTGGTCGTGGTGTTTCACTGGGCGAGCCGGGTCTGTGTTTTACTTCGTCTATTTATTAAGTCCTTCTCATTTTTATAAATTAGTTTAAAACCACAATACACACCTTAAGTTCTTGTATCTGTTGAGTGGCATCCGCTAGACACACCTCTAAATTATGTTTGAGTTCTTCCAGGCGACGTTCTTTAGAGCGGCAGTCCTCCAAGCGAATTACAAGCTCCTGAAAAAAAAAAAGTTTTAATAGTTAGTTACAGCGCCATCTATCGTAATTAATACAAAATGTTGGTTCAAGTTCTGCATACCTGGTCTCTAGCACGACAGGCCTCCTCCAGATCTGCGCAGCGTTGTCTAGCACTACCCAAGTCTGTCCGTGCAGCTTGCAGCAACGCCTCCAGTTCTGCACATCTCCGCTTCGCTGATCCTGCTTCACTCGCACACCGCTCACGTTCCTCGCTCTCGTTTTGTAACCTGTAATTATTAATACGATGATTGTAGATCAAATGAAGAGAAAATAAAGTTCCTAGAATCCTTATTTTATTGAGCTAATTACGTCCATTGTATATGAAGAAAATACTAATATATATCAGGCATTTTATATGATTTTGTAGAAATTATTTCAGATATCTTGGCTGCTCTTAACTTCTTGCACGTCGCTGAACAGAACACAATTTCAGCTGTGTTGGGGCCGCAGCAGGATGCGGGAGGAAGGTCACTGTCAAATGTTAATGACCATTGACCGACAAAATATTTAAAAAGTGTTATACCTGGACTGCATCTCCTTCAGGTCGTGATGTGCCTGCTCTAGCGCGGCTCGTTCCCGCTTCAGCTGCGCCTCCACCCCGCGCAGCGCCCGCGTCGCTGCCTCGCCCCCGCCCTCCGACTCCTTCAGCAGCGACTGCACTCGCCCCAGCTCTGACTCTAAAGCCGCACGGGACTCCTCCAGACCTGTCATAACCCAAGTTAGATACATCGATATTAGTATATGTAAATTAACGTTTCAAAGTCTTTCAGTTTCTTACTGTGTTTTTTTATATAAATATAGACCAAATGTACAGTGAAACTTGCTCCTACATCTATGCGAAACATCGAGATCCATGCAGCTATTTTGGAGATATCTTTCAACAAACATCCATCCATCTATACATCCACATTCTCAATTATAATTTAAGAGAAAGAGATAAAAAAGAAAGAGAGAAAGATGTATATCTTACCGGCAATCTTATGATATGCATCATCTCTAGCACGCGCGGCGTCACGTCGCTCGTGCTCGGCGCGCTTGACGTGTTCGCGCAGGTCACGTCCCGCCGCGCTCAGCTTGTCACGCTCCGCACTGCAGCACGTCAGCTGACGCCGCACATCCACCAGCTCCTTGCGCAAACTTTCTGACTCGTTCTCCACTGGTATTACGAAATAAAAATATAGATAATATAGCAAAAAAAAAGAAAAAATACTTTGGCCTGGAGTTACACGACTGTTTGAGTAATGTGCCATTTTTTCTCTTATACATATTAAACTAACTTAGAATCAGCTTTTCGATCTATATGCGGTTCCTAGTTAAATACTAACGCTCTTTGAGTTTCCTGAGCGCGTCCTGAAGCTGCACATATGTGCAGTCGTACTTGTCCTCAGCGAGGGCGAGCTGCGCGCGCAGCTCCTGACCCTCGCGCATCGCAGCCTCCTTCTCCCCGTGCAACTCCTTGATGCGGCCCTCCAGCCGCCCGCACTCGTCTTCCAATGACGCTCTAAGTACCAAACAAATTTGTCAAATATCTTGTTTAAAGCGCCATCTAGATTCACATTTGAGAAAATTAGTTTTCTTACAAAGAGCCAGTAAGCGTTTTGATATTCAAATATATACTCAAGATTGTAACTTTCTTACTTAATTACTTCTTCATCTTTTGGAGGAGGAGGGGACGCATTGGAAGAGTAAATGTCCCCATTCTGTGCGTCCCCTTATCCGTAGATTAAAAGTAGTCAACGCATCTGCAATTGTCGATATCTATAGGCAGAGGTCGCTTCGCTATTTCGGCTAATCTAGGTGGCCATTTGCTCGTTTGCCAACTAATGACATTAAAAAAAGAATAATATATCAAGGGTAGAAAAAAATAGTAGTTAATTACTTGGTGTCTTCTAGTTTATTCTTGAGCGCGGCGAGGTCGTCTTTGAGCTGGTTGTTGGCGGCGCGGTCATGCTCAGCGCGAGCTGCTGCGTCACGACGTGCACGCTCCAGCTTGCCGCGCTCGCAGCCCAGCGCACGCATCGCCTCCTCGCACCTCTCCGCCAGCGCCTGCTGCTCCTGATGAGCTGCACGACAGGTAATACCATCATTTAAACTACTGGACTCAACAAATATCCTAATTATTAATCCGTCCGTGCGGAATTAAAAAACTTAATTGGTAGTCTATGTGTTCTACATCTGTGCTAAATAGCATCCAGATCCGTTCAGCTGTTCTGAAGTTACCTTCAAACTAAAATCCATCCATCCATCTAAACTTTCGGATTTATAATATAAGTAAGAAGTATTCACCCATCAACAAGGCTTGTTGCTTATCATTCTCAGCGCGCAGCATGGCCTCGTCGTGCTGCAGCATCAGCTGGTCGCGGATCGCCAGTAACTTCTTCTCTCTCTCCCGCGCGCTGGCTTCCGATGCTTCCTTCTCGCTCGTTAACGTAGCTATTGTCTGGTTTAACTTTTGCTCCAGAGCTTGACGTAGTTGCTCCTGAAAAAAAAAATAACTTGTTTCGTTGTTTTCGTAATAAGCGATTAAATATTAAGTGTATGTCAAATTATTGTAATATGTTACCTTCTCCTCTTTAAGCTTGGTGATGTTCTCGTTGGTGGTGCGGTTGATGTTGGCGATGACCTGCTGGTACTCCGCCTCCTTCTTGCCGGACTGCTGCTGCATGCTGCTGCGAGTTTCGCGCAACTTCTTCTCGCTCACCTCCAGCTCCTTGCTCAGTCTGCTTATCTGACCTGGTTTCCCACAAGTTCAATACAGTCCAAAAAAGATTCATGATGATTATCTACACTAAGGGGGGTTTTAAGTGCAATTTAAAGAGCCTGAGTGTGGCCCACCAGGAACTGCTATGATCTTTGTTTATTTTCAGTAAGTGTAGCACGAAACTAATAATATTTTATTGAAGCAATATTGAACAGTAAAGAATCATTTAATTCTTACTGTTTTTGCAAATTTATTGATTTTTTAATAGTAAAGTTTCTTAGTTTTCAGTCATACCTTTAGCGTTCTCCTGCTGCAGCATGAGATCCTGCAGCTGCTGATCTAACTTGGCTCTGCGGGACTCTGCATCTTCCAGCAGGTTGGCAGTGTCGAAGAGTGCAGCTTCTAACGCGTCCTTCTCAGCGCGGACACCCGCTAATTGCTCGTGTAGATGTTGCTTGTCCTTTTCTAAATTATCTATTGTCATCTGGAGAACAAAGAAGAGGTAAAAAAGAATTTGTAAATCTAGATTTTCTGAATTACTAAACACATATCAAACACAACGATTATTTGGTGTGTGTGTCAAATTGCATAGTGCTGTTTTATCATAGACCTAGGACAATGAGTTAGCATTAATCCTAAGATGTAAGGGTTTCAAGTTGACATGAGAAGTGTTCAGAGCCGTAAATGGAAATATAAACTCTAGCTACTTTTAGGTTAGTTGGGTTTCGGGTACAAGTTTGTGACGTCACCTGTTTCTCCTCCGCGTCTTTGACATGTTGGTCAATGGTGCGATTGAGCCTGGTGATGGTGTCAGCGGCCTGCTCGAGCCGCTGCTGCAGCCGCATCATCTCCTCGCCCGCAGCCTCTTTCTTGCGGCCCAGCGCGCTCAGCTGGGAGCTCAGCTCACCACGCTCTCTGTATCACGAACACAAACAAAAGTAGCTAAGTCTTGTCACTTTTATAGCTTACTAAGTGTCGCCCGTGGCTCCATCTGCGCGGATTAACAATTGAAGACATCTATCCATACATCCAAACATTCGCATTTTTAATATAAGCGAGAAGTAAATTAATCTGTAAGCAAATGGATACCAAATATAACTAACCTGGCAACTTGTCTCAACTCCAGTTCCACCTTCTCCCGGTCAGCCTCCAGGAACTTGATCTTCTCGTAGAGCGAGGTCTTGTCGGCTTCGAGCACCATGCGCGTCTGCTCCGCTGAGAGCAGCTCCTTGCGCAATGAGTTCAGGTCTCCCTGCAGCTCTGATGTCTGACCTGATAGTGATGATCTTTCTTCTTCTAACTGTTGAAATATTTATTATATTTATAAAGAACTAGAGACGTGCATGATAAGCATTAGTATGTCAATCTATGTGGTAAAAGAGAGACCTAGACAAAAAGATGGAATAAAGCAAGGGAAACTGGGAAAGAAGTTCTAATTAGGTAGATAAAGAAAATAAATAAATCTAAACTAATATTATAAAGCGGAAGAATTTGTTTGTTTAAACGCGCTTATCTCAGTTACTACTGCTCCGATTTGAAAAAATATTTTTTGTTGGATAGTCCATTTATAGAAGAAGGCTTTAGGCTATATAACATTACGCTGCGACCAATAGTTTTTAGTTTTTTTTTAATTCCGCGCGGACGGAGTCGCCGGCGACAGCTAGTGGGAAGATAAAAAAGAACAGGAAAAACGAAATTTGCATGTAAGATTTCCTTCAATATATTTCCTGGAGTAAAAATGTAGTAAAATAATCTTTATCGTTAACACTATAAGTGTTAAACTCACTTGTTTAACCTCCTCTTGTAATTTCTTCTTGTCGCTCTCAGCATTCTTCAGAGCAGATTCCAGCTTCTCCACCAGATCCTGCAGGTCGCCGCGCTCTAGTATCGTTCTTTCTAATTCTATTTCTAGTTCACCTGGATTACAATTAATCGTTTAATCTTCTTAAAGCTTCAAAATATTGCAGTAAGTTCAGTCACAAAGCAGATTCTGACAAATTTAAGGTTTTTTGACAAAAGATGGCGCTTATATGATTTTGATGTTTAATTTTACTATTGCCCAATAGGGTGGTATAAATTTATTGCATATTTGTAGGATTTTTTTAATGATTGTACTTACTTCTATGTTTGTCCATCTGTGACAATATAGATTCAGTGTCCATCTTGTGCTGGTCGAGCAGGTCGCGAGCCAGCGCCGCCTTGTTAAGCTCCTCGCGCACTGACACCAGCTCCGAGCGCAGCCGGGACGAGCGCTCCTCCTCACTCCTGCACATATACACATTACAAATAACAACCGGTGTCCAATTATCACCTCTTAGCTTTAAAATCGCAGATTATGACGTCATAGTTTTTAAGATGGCATAAATTGTGACGTCATACGTTTTAAGATCACATAAATTGTGACGTCATAGCTTTAATCATTGCAAAAAATTAGATAAGCTAAAAGAAATATTTTTAAAAACAATGTAGCTTAGACGTCTTTAAAATACACACTGATAACGTTCCTAGTGGCAGATAAGACAGTAAATGAAAAAAAAATACAGATCCTACTAATTCCTGGCATTAGAACACTAAAATAGTCGAACTCTGGTTAATTGTACCTTAAAACAGATTCTCTGTTAGTAGCTTCGCGTTGTAAATGATCGACTTCAGCGTTTAAAGATCTTTTCTCATTCTCTAATGCCTCTATATTCTTCTCCAGACGTGAGTTGATCTTCTGAAGTTTCTCATAGTCTGATGTTAAGGATTCAACCTGATAATATTAAAAGGATTCATTATATTAGTAATCTTGCTATTTTAAATAATACTTTGTTCGTTTAGCAAGTTCTTGATTAAAAAAAATGTTAATTAGCACGCCATCTATCGCATTTTGCACGTACCAACAAGTAAACATTTAATTTATAGATGGCGCTGTAACTTTATTTATTTTATTAATACCAAAATTATCAATTTTTAGTTTTATAAAATCCATTTTTGTAGATATTAATGAAAAGTAATTAAAAGCGTACCATAGCATTGATTTCAAGTCTATTCCTTTCCAGATTGTTCTTATCGATTCTGAGTGTTTCCACTGTCTTCTGTAATGACTCGCGCTCCTGCACCACTTGGTTTAGATCCGCATTCGTTTGGTCCAATTTAACTATAAAAAACAAACATATTGCATTACATTACAATCTATAATAACTAGCTATCACCCGCGACTCCGTCCGCAAAGAATTAAAAAAAAAACTTAATTAATAGCCTATGTTCGGATGTTCCACATCTATGCCAAACAGCGAGATCTATGCAGCTGCGTGTACTGCTGTTCTGAAGATACCTTCCAACAAACATACATTCATCTAAACTTTCGTATTTGTAGTATTAGTAATTATTTTTTAGTACTGTACTAAAATTTCAAACAGCCCGCTAATTTATTAAATTTTTTTGAAATAAATACCTTGTAAGTCGTGTACTTTGTTCTCCAGCGAGGCAATGTTGTTGTCTGCAGCGTCGCAGTGCTTGCGACTAGTCGCCAGCTGCTCGCGACTGTTCTGCAGCTTCACCTGCACCAAACATAACCCTCAAATTGTAAAGTTGTACCTGGATAACTGAGTTAGGAACAGCGAAATTTTGGAAATTCCTCTTTTATCTTCGCAAAATTGTCTTCTAGTAATTCAGACGTTAGCTATTGAAATTAGTGGTAATTAGATCTAATATTTAATTAGATTTAATTAAAAAAAAACTGATTTTATGTCCAATGACACTGTGGTGTCATAATTAGTTACCTGTAGATCGTGAATCTGTATCTGGTACTTGTGCAGCGCAGCCTGCAGCGCTGATATCGTGCTCTCAGCGAACGCCGTCGCGTTAGCTGACTGCGGCACTGCGCGCTTTGGTGACCTAAGCAATCATGCAACGCACAATTTCAATACTTAATCGTACTTACTAATAAAAGAAAATAGTAATTGCTAGGAAAAAAATAAAATATTCATAAAGCAAATTAATATCACATTCGAACATTTAGTTACATGAAAGAGACAGAAGATATATTAAGCCACGCGTAAGAGCAGGAAAAATCATTGGTCCTGTCATAAGTACGAATGGTTCACACGCTAAACGCATCGTTATCTCTCTTATTCCCTTTGATAAAACAGAGACAAAACATGTGTCGTGTAGTAACTAACCTGTCAGAAGTGATATGCATATGCGCAGGCGCATCAGTTTCAGAATCATGTATCAGAGCTCGCGCCACCTCCTCCAGCGCGGATCGCATCACGTTAGCTTCCGAGCAGAGAGACTCCGCGCACTCGCAACGCTCCTCCTAGATTAGGCTCCTTTTTAGCATTTTTTTATATTACATGCAATGAAAATGACAAAAGTGATATGAAATAGAGCCACAATTAAAACTATCAACACTTAGCACTGACAAAATATACCTATCTCTTTCTCATATATGGTTTAACTGACCAATGCCTGCAGCTCTCCCAACAGGCGCTGTATCCGTGCATCCCTCTCCCTCAGCTCTGACGTAGCGGCGTCGCGCTGTGACGTCACATCACGAAGCTCAGAACATAAGGTGTCCACATTTGCACTTGGAGTCGTTGGTAGCGGCTGATGACTCTCAGGCTAAAAATAATAAAAGGAAAAATTACTTATCTTCCATACAAATTACTGACATAGAGAGAAAATACAACAAAATATCAGATGAACTGAATCCTTGTAAGCCTAAGAGCTAAGGGTTAAATCATCTAAGAATGTGGTCTCAGATTTGAATGCTACCATTTCCTAATCCCTATAGACTATTCTTCCAAAATCCAAAGCATAAACCTAGATTTTGGTATAGTTTTAATTTAATAGGTACAAGAAATTAATAAATAGTAACAAAATTTACCTTTAGATCTTGGGTAGCATATGCTGTGATGGCATATCCACTCAAAGTCCCGACTAAATCCCTGGTAACTGAATCAAAGTCATTCTTCACTTTGTACAGATCCCTCTCCGTGTTGGTTTGCAGATCAGAGAAGAAGCGCTTTACCGCCACCACCTCCCGCCACAGGCTTAGCAGACGATTGTGCTCACTGGAGTAATAGTCATTGAAAGCCTAGAAAAGTAGTAGAAAACATTTTACGTTAATTAGTTAGGATTAGAATTGTTTGTTTCTGTGCCAGAAGTAGCGGCGCAACAGTTAAATTATAATATTATACATTACATTTACTGTTTAGTCAATGGGTTCCCAGTCCAAGAGCTCGCCTCAATTAGTTAATTAGTTTTTATATATTGAGCTAAAATATCAATCAGTTTAGAACCCAAAAACTGATACGGTTCATCAGAACAATTGAGGAGCACTATATATTTCATTTACATTTGAACAACACTAGCAATATTATTACTTGTTCCTCATCTTTCCATTCATCTTCCTTGATAGCCATCTCATCACGCAGAGCCTCCCAATCATTGGTCAACTTCTGCAGATCATTGGTGAGAGCTTCATTCAGTTGATGTGACTCTTCTAGTTGTTCACGGAGTAAGTTGTTTTGTGAAACTAACTTTTCGCACCTGGAAGGAATCAAACATTCAATATCTGATTACAGTAAAATTTAAAAAAAAGTTTCCAAAATATTTCAATATTTACTTGCGTTTCTCTTCATCGAGTCTTCGCAGCGCAGTCTCCAAGTCGGTGATCCTTTCGTCTCTTCGTGTATCGGATGACGAAGACGAGGCCGGCGCCGGGAGCGCTATACACGTCTTGCTGGGCTGACGGTATGACGGTTCGCTGCGAGGAGTAGACTCCGTCATCTGATTCTCCAGTTCGGCACATCGTTGCTTATATTGCAGGACCTAGTTCACGATTTTATTTTTGATGTTTTATTGAAATACTAAAAGATTTTTCTACAACAACGTACTAGAGTTAGTTTAGCACTCAGAAATGCTTAGACCACTAAGTTTACAGTATTTTTTTTTGTTTATAGGTACTTTAAAATCGAATGCCATTCAAAATTATTCGAAATTTCCAAGAAACTTAAATAAAACAGATGACATTTGACAGAAAAACAAAAACAATGCAAGGAAAATGTTGCCATTCTGCCAGTAGTAAAATATTAAATAGTAATATAAAAAAAAAGTGATAATTAATGTCAATAAAAAATCGTTATGTATTAAAATAAACTCATTTGAACGTCTTATTTAACCAATAATCAGACCGTTGATGGTGGCATGATCATTTAGGAACTTAAACAAAACTAGAAACCACCTTTGCTTGAAGCCTTGATACTAGGGCAGCTTGGCCTTGTTGTGCGCGGCGGTAAGCGTCAAGTCTTCGTTTATGGTCAGCAGATTCACCAGCTAATCGCGCGCGAAGCTCTTCGTTCTGCCGTCGTAAGTCACTATCAACACTCCCCGGTGAATCCATCTCTGGAGGACTTTCCGCCTTCTAACAAAAAGGTCAAGTGCTCTGCAGTCGTACTACTAAGTGTTTATCCCAAATTAATTTTGAATTAAAACTCACCTCTTTTTTCAAACGCTGATGTGGGAGCGTAGAAGGTCTACGGCCTATAGGAGCGCGAGCGCTCCTCGGCGTAGTCAATCCTTCCCTCGTAGGCAACTAAAATAATTTTAAAATTTAAGAGCAATAAATAATTACAAATTACACTCGGACACTTGGTATTTACAGGAAATAAGAATTAACCTGAAATGAGACTTTCTTTTTTATTTTACTTTTATGTTTCACGTCAAAATAATAACAACGAGATGATTTAAATTCCATGTACATTTTAACAACTCAAAGTAAAATCCTAAATTAGCGCCAAGATATACACAAGTTTAAAGAATAGAAAAAATAAACGTATTTTTTTTAATAAAACAATGAAAATGCACCGAGTTACACCACAAACAAGCGCGGCATAGGCTTCCGTAGGGTGGTAGAGAATGGCTATCGGCCTAGGCATCTAATTATTACAACCCACACCTAGTTAGTTCCTATATTTACAGCTAGGGAAGGAAAACATCGTCGGGTTAATGAACTGTTGTACGCCTAGAGTTTTTAATACCAGTATTAAATTTTTGTTAGCATACGCATTTTTATATTATAATATTTTTTTAACTACGTAAATAGAATAAAAGCTACTTATTGAGTGATATTAAATCTAGAACTCTATAACAAACCTATCTTACACCATTTATAGCACCCATGATCGTATAATTTTGTGAATTATGCATATTTAATTAACCAATGATTTTAATTAATATATTTTATAGTACGCGATTTGTAATTGGCTGCCCTTGAAAAACTAAAAATACAAATAATTATAAAGAAAAAAAGATCGCAAGTGATAACAATGACTCACAATCGGCCACCACACGGCGTCGTTCGTTCTATTTTGTATTGATAATCCGTATCCTAGCAACATAATCAGTAGAAATAGAGTGGTGTTGGTCAAGTAAATAAATAAAAAAAAAAAGCAAATATCAGAGACTTAAATTACGTCTTAATTCAAAACATAAAAATAATTTCAAACATATGCCTAAATACATCGTAATTGCCAACCGTCACTTAAATGTGTAACACTGAGATATTGGAAAGAAATAATTTAATAAAGACAGAAGACTGAATTGTAAAAATACTTAAAAGTATCTTACCTGAAATCGATCTAAAATACACGTTTCCTATGTACATTTCACGCATTCATTTCAAACCAATACACGTAGTTAAATGAACGCCTGCCACAATGATTATAGCAGCAGGTTGTATAATCGATGAATTGCGCGTATTTTTTCTTGTCATGTTGCACTAAAAAGTAAAAAGTGTGTGGTGCCATTGAGAGGGGTTGATATACTGGTAGTATTTTTGATTTTAATGCACCTTTAGGGTGATACATACGTTTCGCTTGACTGGACTCCCCCTTTATAATGCTTTAGGAACTGATAACGTAGTATATTAAAATAAAATGGATTTTTTTTACTCATACTAACTAATCTTACTATCTTACTTCTTACTAATGTTATAAATACGAATGTTTAGATGGATGGATGGATGTATGGATCGATGTTTGTTTGAAGATACCTCCGGAATGGCTGAACTGATCCTGCTGAAATTTGGCATAGATGTATGTGACATAGGCTAATAATTTTTCGACATCGTTTCTTAAATGAAATATGCAAATGCAAAGATATCGTAATCTTATTTACATCTGCGTAACTACGGAAAGTTCGTTGACCGATAAGGTGCACGATTTTCTGCGATAAAAAGACTCCTAAGGTTTACAAACTACGCCTTCTTTGATAAATATATTAATAAGCCGTAGTAAAAGTGGTCAGTGTATTAATAAAAAAATAATGTTATGTTACAAAGTTTGGAGACTATTTATATTTACGCTTTGAAACGTGTATTAACGACTGGCTGTCGCCCGACTCCATCCGCGTGTATAAAGAAAAACTTAATTAGTAGCCTATGTGTTCTTCTAGACTATGTTTACTATATGCCTGATATCATCGAGATCCGTTCAGCAGTTACGCAGATACCTTCTAACAAGCATCTATTCATACATCCATACGTGCGCATTTATAATGTTAATAAGATGATTCTGTAAAATATATAGAGTTAATAAAACCTTAGAAGGATCATTACCATAATGAATTACTACGTAGAAACTGTTTTTTTTTTATTTACATGTCCTAAGAACGAGTAGCAACAGATACTTGGTGATTCAATAAACATTGTTAAAGTTGACAAAGTTCAAAGCGAGTTGTTTATAGTTAAAGTCCGAACCTTATCAAATATTTCTCCTCTGTGCGAATATAGTAAATATTCATTTTATAATAGAAAAAATACATGACGTCAACACAGTTCGAACTAATCAGATGTTTTACATTTAACGCGGTCATTGACACAAGTTTTATTATCAACAAGCGGTCGCCCGTGACTTTAGCCGCGTAGAAAATAAGTAGCTTCTAATATGCCCGTATACATCAGTTATCTTGCCTTCAAAGTCGAATTAAAAATTCACGATGAAATAGATATTGTTAGGAAAAAAATCCGAAAATGTGAGAGTGTATTGACACAACACTAGCCTTATATGTCGACGTTTATGGGACATAACTCACTATTCATTCGGTTTGCAACGTAAGTACAAAAGCACGTCTTTCGCGCCAATTTACTCTAATTAATAATATTTAAAAATATATAAGAGCATCTCTAATTCAAATTTAAAACTGCTTATCCTGAAGTTAAAGAAATGCGTACGTGTACCATTATTCAGCGATAATGGTACATTCCTTTAATCTTTTATACGTTACAAAATATTAGGTCACACAGAATTGTAATCTACGGCTTTTTCCACTTTATTTCATATCTAATTTATCTATATTAATTTAATACTTTTAACATACCCTTGAAATTTAAACAAAGTGTTCATTTTAACAAAATAGTTCCTAAGTGTTAAAACATTAATATGAATTAAGAAATAAAAGTATAGAAAAATATAAACAATAAGTCACAAACAAAAAAAAATAAGTTTCTTATCTATGCACCACTAAATTTACATCACAATTAAAGTTGAAATTAGTTTGCCGAAATTCCTATATAACGGTTATTGCTTCCCGAGTCGCGTGACGACAGGGAACGAAAGGAACTGGGTCACAAAAGCTCATCATTTACGATGCCAAATGATAAAGGCGGATTATTAAAACGACCATGTGGAAACGTCGCTCGTGAAAGGGAAATTAGGGAGCGTAGCAACGGATTTGTTAGCTGCTACAACGTTCTACGCGACGCTACACATACGTAGAGCTATACGTTGTAAGGAACAAAACCTTTTTGTAAGTGAATACAAAAATATAGGTACGGAGTTATAAAAACAGCAGCAATATTGCAGTTGCACTGGTTTCCTTTGAGGAAACATTTATCTGTACACAAAAATTGGCTATCTCAGTTTCTTAACAATGAATGAGAGGGATAAAAGCATGTTTCTGTGTTAATTTTAAAGCAATGGAAACTGACGGTTACTTAAGATAACATTTGTATCAAAATCAAAGACCTTATTACAATTATGTACAACGTAAAAGACGTGTGATTATCAAACGCTTGAATAGTCGCTTTCGCTTTAGCTAGACTTGACCGATGATAACCAGCCGCTTACCGCGTGACCTGAGTTATGTAACATGTTTGTGATAAACATATCATTAATGTGTATCCCAAGATTGCTAGCGAGAAAATTCTACATGAGATGCAGCCCAAAACAATAACAATTGAATTTAAATTGAGTGTAGTACAACTAATTCAACAATTATTTTTCCCGAGAAAGGCTTTGCTTTTAAATGACAAGAAAAATGAAAGAAAGAATGGTGATTTATCCATGGAGTTAAAGTAAAATCTCATTTGTGTCAAGTGTAAACCGAAATTAATTTTGTTTACCGAGTTAATTGTATCAAAGTTAATTTTATTTCGGAAATATTCAGTGCTGCGTGTTCATAATTCTTAAAACTATTTGATGTTTACATTATTATCCATGGTATGCGGATGCGCTGTAAATATGTCATGAATACAAATTACATACTTCAAAACCGTACATTTCCGCGGTTCGTGACTCTCGCATGTCCCATCCACTACCCAACCTCGCGAACTTCCTTGTCGTAAATAACTTTTTATGTCACCTGTCAAAGCCGCCATCTTGGCTCGCGATTTACCCGCCGAAATTGATTTACAGCTGTCAAACGCACGTCTATACTGCCAGCGACCCTCAGGCCTGCATAATAAAGCCGAAAATACGTTTTCAGGGCGTTTGCGTTCGGCGTTAGCAAAATGTATACCCTTAAAAAAAGGGAGTCGTCTCCATATCGATTGTGCCACCTGGTGCTTACCGCCGTCTCGATTCGTCGGCAATCGGTCGGTAATCGAGTTCTCAAATATTCGAAATGGTGAATCGAGTGATAGGCTGCTTGAATTAAAAGTTTCGACCATAATTCATTGGTTTCTACGGAAGCGAACAAAACAGACTTTATGTTTTCTTGTTTATACAGTGCAGAGTTAATTACCCGTAGTTATTCTAGTAAGAAAGTGTAAATGCAAACGTGCATTGCAAATATGTTTAATACTAAATATAATGGCTCATAAAATTGACGTTGTATTCCTTGGAAAAAATCTTTCGCTAGTTTTATCTCTTTCATAAATTGACAATTACTATAAATTAAAATATAATAAGATTTCTCTTTAAGACTCATAAATATATTAACATGTCCTATTAAATTGATTTGGTAAATTACTCGGAATGAATCTTTTCCAGCAATCTAATAAAACAATATAACTTTCCATACCAAAGATAAAATTGGCCATATTTTTTTCTAATTTCACAAAATGACTCCATAATATTCTATAGGCCTTTTAAACGCAGCAATAAAGTAGGAGATATTCATTTCGAATACGATTTTTACGAAATTTTATTTGAGTTAGCACGCGATACAGATTATATAGATAAATTGATTTTTAAAACTTTACTCAGTAAAAATAATTTCAACTTTCAGTCAACTGTTACTAATATTTACATCGGATTTTTACTTTAATTTAT